CCACACACAATGGAATGGAAAGAAGAAGAACAGACTCAAAGCAGCAGCATTTGTGGCTTTGCTTTCCTCTGAAGTAGGAAGTCATAACGAGAAGCAAAGGCACTGTTGTGTTTTTACATTTTGTCTCTCAGATTGTGGTTTACAGGTTAGAGGGTTATCTACAGCAGCTGGTTTTGGAGTGAGCAACCCACATCATTACTCAGAGCCCCATCAGGTTGGTGTCCCACCAAATTATCTGTGTTGTTACTGCTCCTCGTGCCTGCACAGTGTCATCAAGGGAAGCCTTGCCTTTTCCAGCAGGGCATCTCAGCCTTCCCTTCCTCCTCCTATGAGCAAAATTGGTACAACCCCCAGAACCCAGGAAGCAAAATTCCCTTATGGGATGGCTCTACAGCCAGGAAAGCTCAGAGCTCTGCTCCCTTTCCCTCTCTACTCAGAGCCCCAGAGCAGCAGCAAAGAGATCTGCTGAGATAACAGCTAAGTGTTGTGACCAGAATTGATGAGCAATTTTCCAGTTTCTTCCCATCAGGAACAAAACAAACTCTCTTTTATGCTTTCAGTTCATTAAGCCCTTGTCTCAAACCCAAGCCGATAAGGTGAAGGCTGTCCCTAATGCAGAGCTCCCTCAGGGCTGGCCATGAAAGGGGAGCAAGAAGCCAGAACTTTGGGTGGGACTGGGACTCCAATGCATGGCACACAATTAACAAGAGCAAAAACAATGCTTACAGCCAAACAGCTCTGCTTACCTCACATTTAATTTGCGCTCCTCATCGCTGCCAGCCTCCAGCTGAGGGGAGAAAAGGAGGAGACAGAGAAAGTTACACGCTGGTTGTTTCCATAGGACTAATAGGAAAAGCATACATTCTTTAAAACCATCCTAACAGTGGGTGGTTGCACCCCATGTTTTTGCAGTGCTGGGGATAAAGGAGATGCTCTGGCAATACATGCCTGCTGACAAAGGGGCTCATGGGGGCTTTAAGGCTATTAGGCCCTAATCCTGCAAGCTGGTCCTGCAGCATGCATCACTCTGAAGCACATCGACCTGCCTTGTGCACACAGGAGTGCTGCTGCTGTCCTGAATGAGTGCTGGGAAGGGCTGGGCCTGCTTCCACCTCCCCACCAGCTCACAGACCAAATTCCACATTAAAGGAAAACACAGTTTTGGTTAATCGCATCCAGAGCTGACTGGAAGAAAAAAGCTCAAAGATCACTCCTTTCCTTTGCATGACCAGAATGAGGGCCAGAAGCATCCCTCTGAAGGGCTGGCTGGCTGTGCTGGGGATCCAAGACCTTGTGGATTGTGTTGCAACAGGGAAACTTCTCAGACCTGCAGCACATGGGACACCAGAGCCTGGATAACTCAGAGCATGCTCTCCTGAAGGTCTGTGCCTCCCCATTAGCCCCAGCAACATTTTCTTATTTACTAACATCGCTTAAAACCCACATCAAACAGGGTCCTGGGAAGGGTTAGTTGTTTTCAGGTGGTTTCTCACAACTCAAAAACAAGTAGTTTCATGTCACACATTTAAGCTTAAAATTTTGAGAGTGTGCACATAGGGACCAGGTTGTTCTGCATCCTCCTCCCATTATGACTCAGGGGTCAGAGTCTGCAACCTGCAAGAACCACACAACCACTCAGTCTGGGTACTGAAGTACAGCCATGGGGAGGAAGAAAAAGGCACAGATCCCATCTCAAACAACCACAACGGACGACGATCTGGAGGAAAGCATACCAGCTCTATTTTTAGTTTGTTTACATGGCGTGGCCAGAAGCAGAGCCAGAGGCAGCCGCAGTGCTCACAGCACCCTGAGCCCCTTGCCCACAGCCCTGGGAGAGCTGCAGGGTCCAGTGAGGTCACTGCTGTGTTTGTTTGGGTCAGTCACATAGCAACAGGACAGAGAGCAACGTTTTTTAAACAAGCAGGACTGCAAAATCCCACATGGGGTTCAGCAGCAGAGCTGGGCCCTGGAGCTGCTTTGGGCTCAGCTTTTGCAGCCACTGACTTGGTTTCAAGTCCACTTTCCTTGCTGCAGGAAAGAAACAAAGGAAGAGAGAAGCAGCCCACAGTATAGGCACAGCACCTGTCCACATTCTGAGGCATTATCCACAAGGGATATGAAGTGAGCAAGCGGGGCCAGGACACACATTGTGACACCATCACTCCTCTGATGGATAACCCCTATGGATTTATGGTGTGTTACAACAGCGAGTCTCATGAAAGCAGCAGTATCCATTTCCTACATTCCTTCAGGCTGAGGAGTTAGGAGAAGCTGCAGCAGCTTACTCACAATTAGCAAGAACATTCGGTCATCATTTCCCATTTTAAAAAGGTCTATCTTCTGGTAATTATTCGCCATAGGCTAAAAATCCTGCAAACCCATCCTTGGAAGAAATAAGGCACTTTGGGGGGTGGATTCTCCTTTGAAATCTGCTACCAGGTTGAATTCTGATGGTTTGTAGCTCTGCAGGACTGCATGCCAGGAGGGAGCATTCACATGGGAGAGGGGACTCCTCCAAGGGCCACCAAAGCACAGCCAGGAGAAAAGTTTGGTGAAAAACTGGGGGCTGAATGGTTACCCCACCAGGAAACCACTGGTGGGCAATGAGCTGCACAGCACAAAACCTAACCAGGTGTGCACGGGCAGGGAGTGAGCAGCCCACCTGGACCTTCCCTCCCAGTTAAACCCAGCCCAATTGCATCAGCTGCACCTGGTGGTGGCCATCTGGAGAGAAGGAATGGTTGTCAGGTTTTCATAGAATCATGAAGGCTGGAAAAGGCCTCTAAGACCACCAAGCCCAGCCTCAACCTACCCTTGCCAGGCCCACTAACCGTGACCCTCAGTGCAACATCTCCACATTCCTTTAGCAGCTCCAGGGACAGTGACACCACCAATCCCCTGAGCAGCCCGTGCCACTTCATCACTACTCTTTTGGAGAATTTTCTCCCAGCATCCATCCCGACCCTCCCCTGGTGCAAACTGAGGCCATTGCCTCTCATCCTACTGCTGTTACCTGGGAGTAGAGGCGGACCCCTCCCCACAACCTGCTGTGAGGAGTTGTAGGGAGCCATCAACTCTCCTCCCCTGAGCCTCTTCTCCTTCAGACCACACCGCTTTGTCCCGTTCCGCAGCTCTGAGCTGCAGGATCCGTGCCAGAACCCAACACGCTCCTTCTGCAGGGCACAAGCACCATCCCCACATCCCTCAGAGCCAGGGTAGGGCTGCTCCGGGCCCCAACCACCGCACGGAGCTCATCCCCGCACAGCTAATCGGGGGCCAGCGGGCCCTGACAGGTGACAAATAGGATTGCGCACCTGCGGGGCCAAGGGCAGGGAGGAGAAGGATGGGGTGGGGGGGCGGGGAGGGAAAAAACAGCTTTTTGGGGTCACCAAAGAGACAGACAGGAGAAGGGGAGCGGCGGGTGCGGCAGCGGGGGGCTGCGGTGATGGGAGCGGAGCCGGCGGAGCGAACCGCCGCACAGCGGGACCGGGTGAACCCCCAGGGACGGCCGGGCCCCGCGGAGGCCTCGTCCGAGGCCCACCCCACCCCTCCCCGCCTCACCTCGCTGGTGCTGGCCGAGGAGGCGGCGCTGGGGGTCGGCGAGCGCTGTAGCGTGACCAGCGCCATGGCGGGGGGAGGGAGGGGGGAAACCGCGGCGACGAGGGCCCGGCTACAACGGCGGCTGCGGGGTTCCGGCCGCCTTCATCCCGCCAGGCGGCTGCGCAGCACCGGGCCCCGCCGGCGGCCGCCGCGCTGCGGGGAGGAGCGAGGGCTGAGGGGCGGGGAGAGAGGGCCAGGCAGGGCGGGGCCTAGCGGGCCGGGAGCGGGGCAGACCTGGGGCCGGGCGGGGCCTAGCGGGCGTAGGCCGCGGGCAGGGCGGGGCCTAGCGGGGGTAGGCCGCGGGTAGGCCGCGGGCAGGGCGGGGCCTTGCAGGCCCGGAGTGGGGGCGGGCCTGAGCTGGGCGGGCCTAGAGGCACAGTGGGGCCTAGCAGGGACGGAGTTGAGGGCAGGGCTTGTGGGTTCAGAGCCTTTGAGGAGATGGGGCTGCTGGGTGCTCGGGGGATGGGGGAGCAATGCGATAGGGACGGGCTGAGAGATTGGGGGAGGGAAGGCTCTGCAGTGCTTCTGTTTGTGGTGGGAGAAGGCTGTAGCCTGGCAGAGGGTGGGTTTAGGTGAGATGTGAGGAGGAAAATCTTCGGTGTGAGGGTGTGGAGGTCATTCTGAGAAGCTGTGGGTGCTCCGTCCGTGGAGGTGCCTAAGGTCAGGCTGAGTGTGCCTGGTGTTGTTCAATCTGGGTGAACTCGCTGCTCCCTACAGCTCCCTGAAGGGACAGCATAGCGAGGGGGGGTCCCTGCTCCCAGCTAACAGCGACAGGACATGAGGTGATGGCCTCACGTTGCACCAGGGGAAGGTCGGGTTGGGTATTAGGAACAATTCCTTCTCAGAAGGAGCAGTGATGCAGTGGCACAGCTGCCCAGCGAGGTGGTGGGGTCACCATCCCCAAAGGTGTTCAAGGGATGTAGAGATGTGGCACTGAGGGATGTGGTCAGTGGGCATGGAGGGGGTGGGCTGGGGTTGCACTTGGTGATCTTAGTAGTCTTTTCCAAACCTTAATGATTCTGTGATTCTATGCAAAGTGTTCCATGGCAGAGAGTAGACTTGAATGAGTTTTAAGGCCCCTTCCAACTCAAACCATTCCATGGTTCCTTGATTCTATGAAAAACCAGTTGGCTGCTGCATCCACGTGCCCCGGACGTCCTGAGGAGATGCCATGGGGATGAAAGGGCATCCACAGAGCATCTGCAGAGCCTCCATTTCCAGGTACAGCATCAAGGAACCATACTAGAACCAGGCTAAAGACAGCGTGAAGGGTCAGCAGTGCCAAAAACAAGAAGCAGGCAAGTAATAGGGTAATTAATTTAAGAGGCTTTGCTGATTATATGTAAAGCCTTTAATAATTTAGGCCTTTGAATAAGTCTTTTTCCCCTTTTTGTCAGCAGAGTGCCTGCCTGTCCCCACCTTCCTCCTTCCTCCTGTGGGACTATATTTCTGCTGCTGGGGACTTTGGCATGAACTGCAGTGACCCTATGGACTTCCAGAGGATGGACCATGGGGCACCAGAGACTCCACCTCCCAGATCCAGAGCAAAGACTTTGACCCCATTGCCCAGCACAGGGTGCAGCTGCAAGCCCTGGACCCTCAGACCTTGGACCGTGGGGCTCCAAACAGGCTACACTGCACCAGGGGCTCTGCTGAAGCCTCCAAAACCCATAGAGGCTACCTGGAGAACTCTGCAGGTAGGTCAGTGGAAGGTTGTGTTTCTGTTATTTATTGACCAGCTGAAGGCTCACGGGGCAGATGGATTCCTCCTCAAGGCTGCATTTGGCAGAGGTAGCCCTGATTTCTGCTGGCTCTGACCTGTGAGTGGCAGCAGATGGGAAGCAGCATGGCCCTGTCCTGCTGCCCATCGTCTCCGTGACTCATCCTGCAGCCCAAGCAGACGTCAGTCCTGCTGTGAGCTGAGCAGTGCTGCAGGGGTGCTGCGCTTCACCTAATCCAAATAAAACTGGTGTTTTTTATTTATAAAATTTATAAATAAATTATTTATAAAATTTATAATCTTGCCCCAGACAAGGTCTGGCATGCTTCTGGGAGCCTAGTGCCCATGGCTGTACCCAGTGCTTTAAAATATGAGTGAGATGATCTTAGTAGTCTTTTCCAATCTTAATGATTCTATGAAATGTGGAAATGTAACACTTAGGGATGTGGTTGCAATTGGTGATTTTAGAAGTCTTTTCCAGCTTTAATGATTCTACGATGACTTCATGATGATCTTGATGGAGGCCAACCCCAGGTCCGTGGACAGAGCCAGGGCTGTTGGCAAGAGCTCAGGGGCTGCAAGCAATGCTTGAAAACCCTTCCTGCCACAATGGCACACTGCAACCCTACATTCATGATTTCAGTGCCCACACAGTGCAGGCAGGTGTTGAAGAGCACTTTGGAGACTCTGTGGGGAAAATGTTTACATGTGAAGTTGCCCCAACACAGCTCAGCCCCTGTGCAATCCTCCTGTGCTCTAGCAGCCAAACTGGAATCGTGTTGGGTTGATAGCAGGAAGCCCCATGCCACCCTGGCCCCAGTGCCTTCTTCCAAGCCTTTTTCTCACCATGCAGAGCCCAGAGCCATGCGCATCGCTGTCATCGGGGCTGGAGTGATCGGCCTGTCCACTGCCCTGTGCATCCATGACCGCTTCCATGCACTGGTGCCCCAGCTGCAGCTGGAGGTCTATGCCGACCGCTTCACACCGCACACCACCAGCGATGGGGCTGTGGGCCTGTGGCAGCCCTACCTGAGTGACCACGGCAATCTGCAGGAGACGTGAGTTGGGGGATCTTCCATGGTCCCTTTCAACCCATTCTGTGATAACTATGCAGATTAGGGGCTAGGCTGCTAGAGAGGAGCTCTGCGGAGAGTGACCTGGGTGTCCTGGTTAATCATGAGCCAGAAGTGTGTCTTCGTGGCTAAGAAGGTTGATGGTACCCTGGGCTGCATTACAAAGAGCACAGAAAGCAGGGTGAGGGAGGTTCTTCTCCCCTCTGCTCTGCCCTGGGGAGGCCATATCTGGAGCACTGGGCCCATTGCTGAGCTTCCTATCTATCTTGAGCTGGGGAGCCATTGGAGAGAGTCCACTGGAGGGCTGCAAAGATGGTCGGGGCCTGGAATGTCTTCTGATGGGGTTTTTCCACACAGGCTGTGGAACAAGGAGACTTTTGAACACCTCCTGGGGTACCTCAACTCACCAGAAGCAAAGGAAATGGGACTGTTCCTGATTTCTGGATACAACCTGTTTAAGCAGCCTGTACCAGTAAGGAGCAGGGCACAGGGGAGGCAGGAAGGGCTCCAGCTCTGGGCAGTGTGCAGGCTTGAGTTTCTGGCCTGGAGCTGGGAAGCAGGGACGTCTCTGTCACTCCTGTCTCTACAGTTGATTACTGTCATTTGAGTGACATCAGACCTTCTCCCCTTTGCAGGATCCATCTTGGAAGAACATTGTCCTTGGCTTCAGGAACTTGACACCGAAAGAGCTTGAACTCTTCCCTGGCTACAGGTACTTTCAGGCCCTTTTTCTGAGAGTTTCTGGGCTCCATCAAAGTTACTTCCCTTAAGAGTAGTACGAATCACCTCAAAGAAAGCAGTAACAATGCATGAAAACCATTCCAGCTCCCTCTCTCATTCCAGTATATACCGTTGAACTCGAGAAGAAAATAGCTATGCAGTAAATGGGAAAAAATAAAGCCCTGGCTGTGCCCGTGCATGAGGCTGGCTGCAACCACTCCTGGGCAGCTGTTCAGATCCTTACTACCTTCTATCCTCATGTCTTTCAGCTATGGCTGGTTCAACACGGCACTGATGCTGGAGTGCAGGAACTATTTGCCCTGGCTGACCAACAGGTGAGTACTGAGCCCTGCTGCTGCTCTTCCCTGGTTGACCTGGAGGGCTCAGCAGGGCCTTTGGCCATTAGGAAAATGAACTAATAATGGCTGGAGAGTATTTAAGAACTGCTGAGAAGACCATGGATGTTTATTACAAGGAGCAACAAGCCATACTTACTCTGTGCATCAATTACAGGCATTAATTTGAATGGTACATTGGCTTTTATGTGCCGGTAACAGATGAACTTGCTCTTCCAGGCTGGCACAGAGAGGCGTGAAGTTCTTCCACAGGAAGGTCGAGTCCTTCAAGGAGGTGAGATGGGGATGTGGGGAGCACGAGGCTGGAATTTCTGCTGCAGAAGGTTCTGTGAGGCCATCCACCCCAAAGCACTATGCTGCAGTAGAACTTAGGGCTAGTGGGGAGCCAGGATGCAGTCAGGAATCAGCAGTGCAGTTTTGCCTTAAGCTGCAAACACTTTCTTTGCTTGTACATTTGGGAGCTATGCTGAGGAAGTATGGCCTGGGTCTGGCCCTTCTGTTTTATTCTTTACCAGAGTGCTGGACCAAATGCTTGGCTTGGTGTTGATGCAGGAGTCTCGTGCTCACTAGGGTAGCATCACTGTCTGCATGCTGCACACTGCAACACCTCTGTCTCTTGGCAGATGTTTTCCCAGGGAATTGATGTTGTCATAAACTGCACTGGGGTCCGTGCTGGGGAGCTGCAGCCAGACCCAGCTCTGCAGCCTGCCCGTGGGCAAGTCATCAAGGTGAGGCTGCAAACCTGCCCCATATGCATCCTATGTCCTGCCTGTCACCCGCTGTCACCCTCCTGCTTTCTTCCCCCAGGTCCTGGCCCCATGGGTGAAGCACTTCATTATCACTCATGACACGGAATCGTGGATCTACAGCTCACCCTACGTCATACCAGGGTAGGTAGCAGCGATCCTGGAGCTAGCAATGATGTGCACTCAGAGCAACCCCCAGCACTGCTCCCTGCTGACATCTGCACACAAGCTCTGCCTTCCCTGCCCATCTTTTACTGTGGAGCAGAGCTCAAGGAGCAGCAGTGCCAGGCAGAGCCCAGCTTCCAGCACTTCTCTAGCATCTGCTTCCCTCTGGGAGCTTTCTTAGAGATGCTGGGATCTATCTCAGATGGCAGCAGATGCATGTACCCAGGGAGCTAAGTAAATAAATCCATGTCTGCTGTGCATCCCCCGGTGACCGCCTGAGAGCAGCCATCCACTGCACTTTGGCAATGGAGAGGTTTTTTAAGCTGTAACCTGAATGCTACACGTCTGGCACTTCCCATTGTGCTAATATCTCAGGATCAGGCAAGAAGCCATGATGTAAATAGGAACTTTGAATACTCACAGCTCCCAAGTGAAGTGCTCCAACTGATCTCTTATCACAGTCCCAACCCCACAGAAATTCCTCTCTCTGTGTGTTTATTTTTGCTAGCTGTTCCATAGCCGGGTATAAGGCTGGCTATGAGGGGAGCAGAAAATGGTGGGAATCTGAGCTCCTTGCCAGGAGCATTCCATTCCCTCACCCTGTTGATAGGAGATGAAATCAGCCCTTTTCCTTGCCAAGGCCTTTCGGGTGCTGATAGTGTTTAATGAACAACTTTCCCATGAGCAGACACTCAGGCAGCACTTTCCTGCCTGCTTGGCTCACAAGGGTGCCTCAGGCGGGAGCATGCTGTGGGCATGGCAGGACCCACACTGAGTGCCTCCATCTGATGGCACCAGGACCATTTACTGCCCTTTGCTCTTGGTGCAGGAGTGAGTTCACAGTTTTGGGAGGCATCTACCAGCAAGGCAACTGGAATGAAGAGAACAGTGCTCAGGACCACAAGTCCATCTGGGAGAGGTGCTGCAGGCTGCTGCCCACACTGCAGGTGAGTAACCCCAGCCCAGCACCAAACCCCAAAATCAGCAGCACGTGGTGACTGCCTTCAGCAAACCCTGAGAGCTGGAGGGTTTTCTGTGCACCCCCTCATTGCTTGCACCTTCCTGGTGTGATTGCTGGGAGGATTTTAGCTGCTGTGAGTCAGAGCAATGCCGGGCTGATGGGATTCTGGTTTCAGAAAGCAGAGATTGTGCAGGAGTGGAGTGGCCTGAGACCAGCACGTCCCAGTGTCCGCCTGGAGCGGGAGAGCATTGGCCATGGGCATTCAAGGACAGAGGTACTGTGCTCATTAACTGTGATGCTAATTGGGTGCTGATGGCTACAAACTTGGCTGCTGTTCTACAGCCACACTGCCAGAGCTCAGCTGTCCTCGCTCCATCTCCCCTCTCCTAATGGCAAACCCTCGATTCAGTTTCAGCCCAGATCAGAGATAAGTGTCAAAAACATTGTGATGGATTTTATGGGGAGAACATTCCTGCCAAAGGAAAACTTGTAATTGGAGCTTTGTCCTTCACGGACAGAGAAAAATTCTGAGGCACCAAGCCCTGCCTATTTCTCTTTTAAGAGAAAGGAATTGGGAATGGTTCCAGCTGCTGTGTGCCACTGTCCTTGGAGCCTCAGCATAACACCGTCCATGTAGGAGCACATTACTCCTCAGCTCTTCATCCTGAAGCTCATCTGCAGTCCTACAAAGGAAACTGTGGTTCGGGTTTGTGCCTCTGTGCAGCTCTGAAGAAAAGATCAGAGCTCCAAAGGGGATGGTGACTGCAAAATGTAATTAAGTGTAATGAAAATAGATTCAATTTTTAGCTGGAAAGCTTTGGAAAAAGCTCAGTGTATTTAGATAAAGCCCAGAACATGGTTCAAAGTGAGGCTGTGTTTGAATTGCTGTATGGATCGTTCCATTCCTTTATCAGCATGTCATATCTGTGCAGCTTTGGCACAGGAGCGGTGCAGCAATCGATCCCAGCAGCAAGTCAGGCTCCAGCTGAAGCAAAGCCATTTACCTTGTCAGGAGCAAACCCTGCATGCTCTGAGGAGCAGGGTGGTGAGCTGCTGCATTCTGACTCCCTCTCTCCCCAGCAGGTCATACACAACTACGGCCATAGTGGCTTTGGGATCACCATCCACTGGGGCTGTGCTATGGCCGCAGCCCGGCTGCTCGGGAACATCCTGCAAGAGAAGCACTCCCAGTCCCGCCTGTGAGTTGCCTGCTCAGCTGGGATTATTGCAATAGCAGTAGCTTAGAAATCACAGCAAAAAGATGCAAATAACAGTGGTGCACGTGGGCTGTTGACACTCGTGCTGGCTTCGCTGACGCTTCCTCCTGTCTTGTTTTCGGGTTGCTGCCAGTTCTGTTGCTGCCATTTGCCAGACGGCTGAATTTCCTCCATCGTGGCCTCGCACAACCTACCCAAAGGAAGTCCTTTAAAACATGGACTAATTATCTGTGACAAAGTGTGATTTGCGGAATCAAACTCCATAACCCAGAGTTAGGTTATAAAGCAGGTATGTTTTATTCAGCATTTGGCGCCAAGCTGGGTGCAAGGGGGATAGCTCCTCCAAACTTGCACACCGTAAGGAAGAAGCTTGGTACAGATATAGGCCGAACGAATACACAATCAGTGGAATTCACATGCATATTCATTACATTCCTGACGTATCAACATATGGTCCCGCCATGAGCAGTGGGGGTCTCCTTTGCATGGGAGAAGACCCATTGTCTCTTGTGGTAGTGAGGGTCTGGCGCCCGGAAGATATCGCGTTGTACGGGAAGACAGGGTCCCCCTCCCGACAGCCAATAGCATTCAGTGCCGTTTTTCCCGCCAATAAACGCCATTTGCCGTCCACCACATTGGTGTCAGCGAGCCGATGGACCGAGCGAGCTGGGATTGGTCGCCGTGCCGTTCCCGAACCAGGTTGCCACGCCTACAATAGGCAACAAGTGGTGCCGAAACCCGGGATTGTCGCCTGGACGGGTGAACGGCGGCCGGAGCGGCAGGACCAGCCCGGCGGGGAGGACGCTCCCGGACCAACAAGGAGGATGGAAGTCCTTGTGAAGGTCGTATCGCAGTTAGATAAGCAGTGGGGCATCGATTGTAAGCCCAAAGATTTTACTCTCGCTATTGCGAGGCTTTTGCGAATCGGCGTCATTGACCAGCCGGTGGATATTCTCCACCTTGAAGTGTGGGATAAATGCATTAAAGCGTTAACTGAGGAGACGATGTCCTCGGGCTGTGGGAGAAGCCTAGAGTCGTGGGGGAGAGTCGCGCGGGCCCTGCGCAGGGCCATGCGGGAGCGGGAGAGCTGGAGGGCGGCAGAGAGCCGTTTGTTGGCCACCCCGGGACTGGGAGTCGGGGCGGCCACGCGGAGTTTGCACCCCTCTGACGATGACGATTACATGTCCTCTCAATCGAACCCCGACCCGCCCACGGAGGGACAGAAACGTGCTAAATCCTTCTGGGGTGGGTTAATCGAGGAGGCCAGGGCTGCCACGGAGAAATCGGAGCCCGAGGAAATTTGGGCTCGACCGCCCCACTATGCGCCCCAAGATGGCGCCGAGCCA